AGATAAGAAAAAGTCATCAAAAGAGACCAAATAAGAACAGCTCTTCAAGTAGGAAAAGAACCAAAAAGGTGTGATCTCTCATAAGCCGAGGGAAGAAAATGTTTCAAGAAGAAAACAATGCTGCTGACCCAGTAAACAGTAAACCTGGTGATTCAGAAGAGAGTAGGAGAACTGTAGAAGCCATGACCTTGATTTAAATGAGAGCAGATGGGAAGCATGTTCCACTGGAGGAGTTGGACCCCGAAGGGACCCCGAAGGGACCATGGGCAGTTCACCATTTCCAAGAGGCAGGAAGGCAGGGGAGACAGAGTAGTAGAATTGGTGGGGGAGAACACGTGGAAGGTACTCCTCTGATGGTTTCCATTTTCTCAGCGACGTTGGAACTAAGGCCCAGAACTGAGAGAAAGGAGGGAGAAGAGGTATTTGTGGTTCAATCAGAGATGTGCAAAATAAATTTCTAGGATAGTAGAACAGTGAATAGACTAGGGAGATGAGGATTGCCAGGCAGTGTCAGGGGACCTTTGTAGGTAACTGGAAATGAGTGCTAAGTGAGACCTGTTGTATGGTGGTTTGCTTTCCTCTAGCCACACTGGGTTACTGTGGCTAGGCACAGAGTAGGCAGAGAGTTGGATTTGGGTAAACTAGAGATCTGTGAGAGGGGCAAGGGAGTTTACTTTGAAGAACCAAAAAATACTAGGCTACTAAATATTGCTCATGTATAGTTCTCAGGTTTAAAAAAAATTTTTTTTTTTAAGTTTTATTTATTTAAGTAATCTCTATACCCAATGTGGAGCTCGAACTCATGACCCGAGATCAAGAGTCACATCCTCTTCAGACTGAGCCAGCCAGGGGTTTTGTATTAAATTAATAAATCAGAATGTTTTTAAAAATGAACATGTTAGTCTTAGGGCAGATACTGAAAAACAAAATAAAGCATAATACTCTCTAGATTTATCTGTGTTGTTGCAAGTGACAAGATTTTATTCTTTTTTTATGGCTGAGCAATATTCCATTGTATATATAGGCCAGTCAGAGAAAGACAAATACCATATGATTAAAATTGTACAGTCTTGTGTAAAATCACTTGATCTATTCATTCATCAAAGGTTGTCCGTATATGTGCCAGGGTCTTCATTAAAGCTCTAGGGACACACAAATGAATGAGACATGATCTTTTACCGGTTTGGGGTTTGTTTGAAAAATATATTACTTGAAAAATAATATTAAAATATTTGAAAAATAATATTAAGAGTTTATACAATAACTATAAGACAGAATCCTAAATATTAATAGGTGATAGGAATCATAGGTTCTAGATCTGACTTACCGAGCTCTAATTTCAGTGCTTCTGCATAGTAGCTATATAGACACCAGAAAGTAATTAAACTTTTCTAAATCTCACTTTCCATGTTATACAATGGGCATGATAGTACCTTCTTTACAGAGGTGTCACTGAGATTATGCTATTTAATGATCTTTAGAAATTGGTAGTGTTATTAGCACATGATGTGTGCTAAATAAATATAACTATTATTGTTATTATACTACAGATGTATAAAAAGTGTTTGTAAATGCCTAAGAAGAAGGCATGATAAATGGTAGGTTTGCAAAGCAATATGCCTACTCAAATTATCATGCATTAGAAATGACCTTACTAATAAATTTATGAAGCTCTATTATAAAAAATGGACAATCAAATATTTACATAACAGAAAGAAATTTTAGGAGTGAGATAACGGGTGAGCACAAAGGTGGGCATAGCCATGGGAACTGTGCACAGGCTGGGCAGGAATTGAGATGCAGTCAGAGTGATGTGGCAAATGGACTGATGGAAATTTCATGAGCGGTAGTAGGAAACAGAGAACTGAAATTTCCACTGACCAACTGTTCTTTTCACCCAAGGCACTTTTAGTAATGCAATTTTGGCTTTTGTAAGTCGAGGCTGAGATCTCTTTCTACCACATCAGAGGATGCATGTATTCAGCATTGATAAATGATCCACAAAGTGTTCATGTCTTGTTACATGTCTGAAATAGTCTTTAAAATGGTTTGTTGAATTCCCTTTTCCTAGCATTGTAACAAAGTCATTTTAGAGCCTCCCGTCTAAAATGGCTAGAACATTTCATCAGTCCGGCTCATATAACTGTAATAGCTATTACTTATTTAGTCCTCATTATGTGTTTTACGAAGCACTCTGAGCAGAGAGCCCGATGCGGGACTCGATCCCAGGACCCTGAGATCATGACCTGAGCTGAAGGCAGAGGCTTTAACCACTGAGCCACCCAGGCGCCCCTAATGTATTTTGTTTTATAGCTCTTAGGATTGTTGAAACTTTCTGGGCTCTCAGTTATTCTCAAAGAACACTGTGAATTGGATTGTTGGAACTCCTTCAGGCAGAGGGAAATAGGTGTTCTCAAGGCTGTTCATGCAGCGTTTTCTCTAGCCCTTGGAAGGATGTGGGCTTGTAGTAACCGCGGGTTACTACTGCTCGGTGGGAAAACGGAGACAGAGAGAGGCCTTAAGTAACCTGCCTGACATCAACATAACGAGTAACCGGGGCTGTTAACCAAGCAAAATACCTCTCAAATTGCCTGACCACACTACTATATGCTATAGTAGCTACAAGTTCAGATTCTCGAGGCAGAAAGACCTGGATCTGAATCCCAGCTTAACTACGTACTGAAAAGGTTGTACAAACTGCATAGCACCTCACCAAGGGCCAGCATTAGCCATCCTGTCAAAAGAGATCTACGTTCTTGCTTCTTTTTGGTGGATAGAGGAATGCAGCTCCACAGGCTTGTTTATCTAACCGAGGATGGGGCTTGAATCACTTGCTGGACATTCTAATTCTTGGTGGAGATTTTTAAAAGACAATTAGGGATAGAATGAAATAACACATGAGAAACCCTTTGTAAATTGTGTTACAAGAGAAGAGCGTGAAATGGTAACTTACTTTAAATGAAGTTAAATTTTTTTCACCATAAAAAGTATATGTTTTCCTCCTTTGGCACCTGTGAAACTGGGAAGATCCCATTTATCTCATTGTCCTCCTAGCCCTTCACAGTTTCCCTGAAGCCCATCAGTGACATGGTTTGACTGCCCCCCACAAATGTATACATTCTCACAGAAAATTAGGAAACTATATTTAAAAAAGAGGAGTAGTACAATGATTATCTCTTATATAACTGCTTAGAGGTAACTGCTTTGTTTCCTTTTAGCTTGGGGTTTCTGTTTCTGTTTCTGTTTGTTTTGTTTTGTTTTTAACATAAATTGTTATCTAGGAACATTTAGTGATCCCAGAAGGAAGATGATATAAAAGTGAACTTGACAAAAGAACACCGGTCACTTGATGTCCTTTTTTCCCCTCCCAATTACAAGACCCCTCAGGAAGGCTCTTCGTTACCACTTTTAAAGATGTAGAAAATAATTTATCAGCTATTGGGGCAATCTAAAAGGCCATTTTAAAACTCTTTTCAAGTCTACTTTTGGGGAGGAGTCAGTTCCTCGGTGGCTTTAATCTGTTCCTCACAGGACCTGTGTTCAAAGTGGGGAGGCCTGACTTGGCTGCGGTTCTCATGAAAAATAAAAGGGCGTCTTAAATGACTGTAACTTCTGTATGAGCCAGCAGAGTGTTGTGGCGGCTATAAACGCCGAGGCCGACTTGGGCACTGTCAGCGGAAGAGCTCAGGATGTGGTTTTCTTGCTGCGCCTTGTGCATCTAGATCACGATATCCAGCATATTGTATTCACTTTGGGGGCCTAAGGTTTGAGCTGGATATTGACAGTGTAGAGACAGGTGACTAGGACAGCAGTGGGTCCTGTTGGCATGAATAGTTGAAAGAACTGAGGGTGTTTTGCTTAGTAGGCATCCTAGGAGAGCTCAGAGGAGTCCACATATGAAAGAGGGAGTAGAGGCTATAGATGGCCAAACTACAGACCTTGGAAAGCAACGCGATGGGGGTTCTCTTTGGCTGAATATGAGTGTGTGTGTGTGTGTGTGTGTGTGTGTGTGTGAGAGAGAGAGAGAGAGAGAGAGAGAGATATGTAATTATTGGGATTGTCTAGTAATGGAATTGACCTCTGGAGGGAGTGAGTTTCTGGTTACTGAAAGTATTTAAGCTGAGGTTGGATGGATCCCTGCCAAGAACTACAGTCAAGTACATTTCTTCGCTGCATTTATTCACTCTCACTCACTCACCCACTCACTCCCTCCTGATTGAAGCCTTCCTATGTGTCAGGCATGGTGCCCAGTGCTGAGGATGCAGAGATCAATACTCTGGGCAAGAGGCTGCTTTAAATGACCCCAAAGATCCCATTATGGTCGTGGTCGGAAGAAATTTCTTGATGCTTCGACTTCTTTTGCCTTAATAAAAGTGTGGGGCTCTGACTTGTGTTTCACTCTTTCTTTGAAACGCTCCAGTGTGTTGCTATCACATTTCTCCTGGGATGCGGAGTCATGCTTCATACCATGCTTAGAAAGATTGGAGGCCTTTAACTCCTGTAATGACAATATTTTATTTCTCGAGCTTTGAACATAGAGGTTAAAGTTGAATGTGGAGTCAGCTTTTGATGGAATCGTGGTGATTTTTCATGGCAAGTGTTTAATTCCAGGCTGACTTACATAAGTTTTTAAAGATGCAAGATTTATCAGAAAGTATCATAAAAGAACATAATGCTTCTTAAATGTAAGGTGATATTATTTATTCATGTTGTTGGGAATTCGTTGTACTTGAAACATACAAAGAGTCAGGTTCTAAGGTTACATTTATTTCTCGAGAGGAGCTCTCATTTGTGTATACTGAGAGATTAAACCTCCAACTTCAATATTTGTAGATTGATCATATATCTGGACTGGTTCTAGCCCCTCTTGTAGAGATCAGATAGTACCAGGAAGAGTGAAGGTGCCAAGAACAAAGTGTGCAGATCTGGGGGTGACGTGGGGGTCTCTGTACATTTTGGCCCATCATGTAAGGCCAACTGTTCATTTGTTCCATGTCTAGGTTTGGAATTCACCCAGTCGCAGGCCGGATGCCTGGTCAGCTGAATGTGCTGCTGGCTGAGGCCGGGGTGCCATACGATATTGTGCTGGAAATGGACGAGATCAACCATGATTTCCCAGGTAAGTAGTGGGGGTGATGGAGAAGCTTGTTCTTAGTCCGAATAAAGTGATACCAGTCTTAGGACCTAAATTGTGGGATTACTGAAGACCTACTAGTCAGATGAAGAGTAACCTGCTCCTCGGAGGTGTACAGTTGAAATGAAATAAATGAAAGACAGTACAGAATGAGGTCCAAGAGGCTCGTGAGTGGGAAGGGTACTTTTGGGCCTAGGAGGAGATTGGAAGGTGGTGAAAATATCGGGGTGGGGCGGGGGCAGTAGAAGTCATTGCAGAGGGACTCTAAAAAGACCTGGCTTTCAGATCCAGGTTCTGACTCTTGCTTTTGGAAATGGATACTCAGCCTCAGGTTCCTCACTCATAAAATTGCTTCTGTTGATAATTTCATGTCCAGTTCTTTTCAGCATCTGAGATTTTACTGGTTTCCAATTGTACCAACTCATGATCAAGAAAGTAGTTTTTGGCTTTCTTTTCAAGTGCCAGGACTTTCCTAGATAAGGTGCCATACTTCATGGCTCTTGTTGGGTAGATGTTGAATGTTAATGACATTTGGCTCAAGATCATGTTTGTTAAAGTTAAACCAGTTCCCTCTGGCAAGTATCCACTGTAAACTTAAAAAATACTGTTTATTAGAGGAAAATAATGAAGTTGTGTGTATATCTACATTCACATGGCATTTTTGGCAAAGTTCTAAGGTAATTTATATTATAGAGGGAATTTGGGACATTTTATGCCCGCTTTCAGATTTCACTGTTGCTAAATTATGTGTGAAACCTGCCAGTTCCAGAAATTATGGATGCAGCTTTAATATAGACCCTTAGACCATTTTCTTTGAGACATCAAATAGCATGTTATGTGGTCATTTTAAAAGATGAAGATGGGATGCAAATCTTATAAAATAATGTAACTGGCAAGATCATTGTGAGATAATAAAAAACCGTCAAGTCAGATTGGGTAGATCCGCTGTGGGGGAGGGGAAGCACAGCAATGCAAGGTTCGGTCAGGATGCTCAGGCTGAGCTGCAGGATCTACTGTTTTAGCTGTGTGACGTTGGCTAGGTTACTGAGCCTCTCTGAGGAAGCTTTTTGTACAGTGCCTGGCACAAGTGTGCGTCCTATAAATATTAGCTTCTGTTATTGTTGTTTTAAAGTCCAGATCACTCTGATTGGCTTGAGAAAAAAGAAAATGACCCATTGGCATTTTTTATTTCTCTTTTTTTCCTTTACTATGTAGATACCGATTTGGTCCTTGTGATTGGAGCCAATGACACTGTGAATTCAGCCGCTCAAGAAGACCCCAACTCTATTATTGCAGGCATGCCGGTCCTCGAGGTCTGGAAGTCCAAGCAGGTAAGGCTTCAGACTTGTGTTTCATTGTAATCATCAGATGTCTCCTAGAACACACACACAGAGCTGTCCTGGTTCACGTTGGTGAGGAGTGCCGATGCCTTTTGGGAGCCCCAGGAGCTAGAGTGGGTGTAGGGCCCTGCTGTCTCTATCCAGCTTCTGTCTGTTCAGTGGTCACCAGAGAACCCAAGTAAATGTGCTGGTCAGCATTTGAACTAGATGATGTTATGTGGGTGGATTAACAAAATCTGTAACCACAGCTGAAAAAAGAGCTGTGAGCTTTTGGAATGAGTTTGGCTGACTTCCACAGAGCGTCCAGTGAAGCAGATGGCTTCCCTCTGGGACAGTGAGTCAGTATCATTGCCTTCATATACGAAGACGAGCACATTTTTTCATTTAGTTTTTTTGAAAGGGCATTTGTTGTTGTTATGGAGTGTCCAGAAGAAAGGTGATTTAGAAATCCAAACTCTGACATGGCATAAGGAGGCAAGGCCTGCTCACGCACCTTACCTCCATGGAAGCTAACTGCTGGGTTACGGAGAACTCACAGGCTTGTCCATTTCCGCCGCCCTGGCAGAGGGCTGGTCTCCTTACCACTCTCAGGTCAGATCTGCATTTTAACCGTCGTAATGATGTGATGTACATTTCCCTTTCGTTTTGTTTCTTTTTATCGTAAATATGTGAGCTTGAAATTTGTGGTGGATGAGATACGCACTTGTTCACGTGTAGATGGAAAATTATTGCACTGGTCATCAGTATTTGAGAGTTTGCAGAATGTGTTACTGTACTAAGGCTGTGTGAAGTGGGAGTAAATTTATATTGCTTTCATTTTTGGATAGATTACATGTCCCAGACTACCACAGAAGGGCTTTCCATTTCTTTAAGAACTGACTTGATGTTTAACTGAATAGCACCCTCCATAACTCATGTAATTGTAAGTGACTCTAACGCATCTGTATTAGAGACAGACTGACTTCTTCCATTTTGCTTTGTAGGAGCATAATATTAGTCATTCGCTCTGTCTTGTGACGGGCTAGATCGCTCTTCGGGCTTTCGTTGTGGAACCTTCTGCCTCACTTTAAAGTGATGGAATAAGAACCGTCCCATTTTCCCACTCAGCTACATTTATCTTAGGATCTGTAGCAGAAGTTTATGTGCCAAGTTTGTTCTCTGAAGCCCAGTCAGAGAATGATACTTATTTTTCTGACTAGAAGGTGTTACACAGTCTGTATGGAGAAACGCAGTGAGAAGAAACTCTGTTGTTAATATGATTTTTCTCTCATGGATAGGAGTACGGGCACATTTTTAAAATGAGAGTTAATACAATGTAAACATGCGTTTAGAAAACATTCCCTGTGTGTCGCAGAAGTCTGTGCAGTCGGGAGTTGGTCATGGTACATGCTTCATTCAGCTAGGGCAGGGCGGTGTTGGCCCTGTCACGTCCCCGTCGTGTCTGTTACATACACTCACTCTCTGCCTTTGTCTTTGCTCCTTAGGTCATCGTTATGAAGAGGTCCTTGGGTGTTGGCTATGCTGCAGTGGACAATCCAATCTTCTACAAACCTAACACGGCCATGCTTCTAGGCGATGCCAAGAAGACATGTGACGCACTGCAGGCGAAAGTGAGAGAATCCTACCAGAAGTAAACATTAAAGACCAAGCTGTTGTCTGACAAAGCCACCTCTTCTGTTGTGCGAACAGACAAATACCGTATCACTATATACAGCTGATACACATCTGTAGCAAAGCTCTTGGAAGAAAAAGAAGACAAGAAAACGAAACGTGGGGAGATTTCTCAGGAGCAGTGATCCCTTGATTTAAAAAAAAAAAAGAAAAAAAAGATTCGCCATGTCTTTCTGTGCATATTTTTTGTGTCATGAATTCCAGAAGTATTTTATAAAAGAAAGAACAGCCTTATTTTAGTTGTAATCCATTTGGATTTTTTTTTAATTCTTCCTCAATAGTCAGCAGTGTTTTAAGAAATTAAATCTTTAGGATCTTAGTACTTACATTATATACGTGGATCTGAAAAATCTGACGCTGTAAACATTACCGCTACCTTCATTTATGTTATTTACAACAAATGCTACTTATTTGAAACTTCTGTCAACTCCTGAGCTATCCTCTTACCATTTTACCATAATCTGAATTAATGTTATCAAATTGGCTTCAACTTTTCGAACTGTATTTCCAATTCTAGGTTTCAGGGATGTATTTTCTGACTTCTATTTTAATATATTAAAGGACTAGATAATCTTTCAGAGATGCTGGAAACAAATAATTTGCTTTGTATATTTCATCAGGACATCAATGAAACATGTAATTTGAAATCAGTATCGTATTTTTAAAAGTCCATTTTCCAATCCAAGATCTTTTTTTAATTTCAATCAATTTATAATGTGTATTACTGTATTAAGTGCACTTGAATGGAATTCAAGTATTTGACTAATAAAATGAGTTCATCATGTTTGCATAGAGATGTAGCAATTGTCTCTGGTAACAAAGGGCTAAAGCGAATAGTTCTGCCTGTTAGTAACATCTGGGGAAAGCTTGCTACTATGAAATAGATGAAGTTAATCAGTCTCTTAACTGTTGGCAAGAATTTTTTTTTTTTTTTCCAAATCAGAGTATGTTTTGAGGTCTTATGTAATTGATGACATCTGAGAAAAATGGTGGCACTTTTTCTGTGCTACCTCTTTGTTTATCTGAGCACCAGTAAAGATCATGTCTTTTTGCAGCAAAAGTATAGATTTTCTTTGTGACTTTGGTACTGTGCCAAAATGTCTAGGTGAATGTGTGAGGAATACTTGGGATATCTGCCTCTCTACATAATTAATTTGGTACTACGTTTCTCAAAAACAATTATAAATACATAAAAGCTATTTCTAAACCAGAAAAAGAAATAACAGGTGTGAAATTTTTTACTGTCATGCTCGTGTTTACTCAGTTTACAACTCACGGTATCTGCTGGTTTGGTAAGCAGCTTCCATTTTGTTGTGCCTGAGATCACGATCTGTGTGTGTGTGTGTGTGTGTGTGTGTGTGTACGGGTGTGTGTGTGTGTGTGTGTGTGTGTACATATGTTTTAAAGCAGGAAAGACTCCTTTTTAATTTTTAAGTGGTAAATGCAATTTGCTAATGGATCTCAGGTCATTAGTAACCTCAAGTCTGGATTATATCATGAAAGTTCTACTAGAAAAAAGTAAATATTATCTTTATTTATGTCCTTTTCCCTTTATCAAAGTAGTAGGTACATCTGGAGAGTAGCAACTTGGATTGTTTTTTGTTGTTGTTATTGTTGTTGAAATAATTCCTGCCTTCAGCTTAAACTAAAAATAATTATACTTGAATTTATTTATTTTTATTTTTTGTAGTAAGTATTTTTCCATGTTTTTAAAAGTTAGGACCTCATTCTTTGCTACTTATTAGTCCTTTGTCATCCAGTTGCGTTAACTGAATTGAACCAATATCCAATTGGTTTTATTTTACTTTATTGGTTAGGGTATTTAAATGAATTTGGATATATTTCTTAAAGTACAACTCCCTAAAATTTGGTGGCCTTGGATTACTTATGGTAAAGTCTAATATCAACAAAAATAATCTTCATCTGGGGTGCCTGCGTGGCTCAGTGGGTTAAGCCTCTGCCTTCGGCTCAGGTCATGATCCCAAAGTCCTGGGATCGAGTCCCGCATTAGGCTCTCTGCTCGGCAGGGAGCCTGCTTCCTCCTCTCTCTCTCTCTCTCTACTTGTGATCTCTCTCTGTCAAATAAATAAAATCTTTAAAAAAAAATCTTCATCTATCCTGTTTTTTTAATTTCGTTTTTTTCTGCTAAGTCCTATAACTAGAATATCCGACTTCTTTTTATTCTTGTATTGCTCACATTGTATAGTGCTATTCAACTAGAAAGAATTTTCAAAATCAATCCATTGTACCCCAGAGTCTGTTACCAAAAAAAAATTTTTTTTTTGAATTCTACCTAGGCATTGAAAGGTTAATGTTGACATGTCTTTTAGGCCTTTTAACAATCCTTTATTTTCTCTTGTTTGTCCTAAATTGGTAGTTTGTGTTTAAAGTTATGCATCTAAGTAAATAATGTGTAAAAGTAAATATATACATTTTAATGCATTATATGTATGTTTCTGTCTGTGTAACTGTGGACGGTTTTCTGGCATATAAATCTTCTTATCATTCTCTCTCCACATTTTTTCTAGGGATTGGAATAGAGAGGACAGAGAGAGAGGACTAATCTTTTTCTGCAGTGGGCGTTTCAGGCATTTATGGACTCCGTGAATAACAGTTCGGTGTTTGGTAATGAATCTGGATGGTGGGCTCTCGCCTTTCTGATTCCATCCAAGTCATGGCCCTAACTTTTAGATTTTGCTGTTTTATCATCCAACACAAATATGGGATATATTATGTATCAGTCAGCTTTATGGTTTAGTTCAATTTATCCTATCCCAGAGCCTTATTATGTATAATTAATAACTCATAACCCATGTGTTCATCTGACTGAGAGGCAAATTTTCAAGTCCCTTAAGGCATAAGCCTTATGAGTTAAAGCATTTTCGTACTGGAAATTTGGACAGCTGGGGGAGAAGAGTTCAAATGTCTAATTTATAGCTCTCGCCAGTTTTTGAGAGTCTTTGCCAATAAATATTATTGGGTCAGAATGGTAAGAGAAAACAAAAACAACAAAAAACAACCAAAACTCTACACTCCAGTGGCAACAACTTGTATATTCCGGCTCCTCTTTAGATTCTCAAGGAATCTAAATCTTCAAAGGAAAGAAGCATTAGTTTAATTAACGAGGGGGAAAATTTTTAAAGTGAAACTTTTTTTTAAAAAGATTTTATTTTATTTATTTATTTGACAGAGGGAGAGATCACAAGTAGGCAGAGAAGCAGGCAGAGGGGGGGGGGGCAGGGAAGCAGGCTCCCTGCTGAGCAGAGAGCCCGATTCGGGACTCAATCCCAGGACCCTGAGATCATGACCTGAGCCAAAGGCAGAGGCCCAACCCACTGAGCCACCCAGGTGCTCCTTTAAGTGAAACTTTTAAAGTGTTAAAAGGAGCAGAAATGGTAACATTTGAATGTCAAAGCACTTAAGATTGCTGTTCTTAAACTTTTAGAAGTTCCATATTGGATTAAGGGATTGAACTGTTCACGATTGAAGTGGTTATATGGACATTTACTGTGGTGTATACTGTAATTCTGGATGGAAACCTTTTGGATAAAACAGTGATACAGCTGATGACACAGTAATTAGAATGCTAATATTTGAAACTCTGGTATATAATGATTAAGATAATGGTAGAAAAAGATAGTTGGATCTTGGTACATACTTTTTGGGGGGAAGAGTGGAAAACTACATTGGATAGGGAGAGAAAGGCCAGTTTATGATTACAGAGAACTTTAAAAGCTTGAACTGAAGTAGTGGGGAAATACTACATCTCTGTCATTTTGATTGTGAAAGCAGATGACTACTTGATTCTATATAAAATATTTGTACTTCATATTCTTGCCAAAGATCATAACTTTGAACTCTATTTTCCAATTCCTCCCAAAAGCCCATTTCTGAAGAATAATAACTAATGAAAAGATAGCCTAAAGGATATGGAGTCCAGTTTGCCCCCAGATATTTCAAATTTTGCTCAGAGACCAAGCCAGTCTTTCAGAGATCTAGGTGCTTGGGCTGTGTTGTGTGGGTCATTGTGGATAACAATGATATGAAGGTACTGGAATGGGGGCAGGGGAGGGATCCAGTTCCACCTCAGGGGACTCCGAGTTTGGGGGACGTATATGTGGCAGCAGTAGAATGGTGGGGAGTAAAAGTGGTTGTCACAGACGTTGAGAAGAATTGAAGTGATGTGGATTTGGGGTATGCAGGTGACACATGGGAAGATGGTGGCTACACTTCCCACAGTGATGCAGAGACGTGAATTGGAAATGAGACCTTAGAGCAAGAGGTTGGAGGTGTTCCTATTTGTTATGAAGACAGAAGAGGAAGATCTAAGAGCTCTCTCCTCCTTCCTGTTGCATTTGGGACGTTGAAAAACACAGCAGCACAGTGATTTAATATATAGTGAATAGGAAAAACCCATGGAAAAGGAACATTTAGAAATTAAAATAAGGCCATATTCCCCCTCATCCTCACACTCTGTTTTTGGCTTACTACAGGAAAAAAACAAACAAACAAAAAAAAAAAAAACAAAAAAACAAGAGCAAAAAGAAAAACAAAAAATTTGGAAACATCTCCAGTAAGGTGTAGACCTAGATTTAGCCAGTGAACTTTCATCTAAATCAGCCCTTTTCTGGATCCAATTTTCCAAAAGCCAGTGAACAGCTGTCAGCCAGCCTTGCTTTTTTCCCTTCTTAGGAAGTCCATTTTCCGTACAAGTACGGTGTTTACACAGAGTAGCAGGGGCTGTGCCTGGTGAATTCCATCCAGACCTTGTGATTCTCGACCTCCACTACACACACACGCAGATGCTGGGTTCAAATTGAAAGGTCTCCTCAAACCCCTAGAGAAATGGGAGAAAGTCTGAGTGGGTAAGTTCCTTGTATTATGTCAGAGGGAGTAACTTCTTCCCCAGAGGGAGGAAACAGCCTGTCATGGCTTTATCTTAGAATGTTTTGTCACTACTCTCTGAGTTTACTGGAACATGATGCTTCAGAAATCATTCCTTCTAGAAGAGGCCTTGTAAAGCTTTCAGGGCTTTACTGATTCATGGAAAATTTTGTTCTTGCAAATTATAGCCAGCTCTGTGGTTTTGTCCCATTGGGGTATCTATGAGCATGGAAATGTAGACATCCTTTAGGTCCACACCCTTGTATCTGATTAGGGATAACTGCTTCATTAGTGTTAGGTATAATTATAGTAACTTGGATGCATGGTCATATAAGGATTAGAAATCATCATTGTAAATGAGACCAACAGAACTTTCAAAGACTATGACAAAATCTTATGAAAGTCTTATTCTACACGTAAGAATTTTAGCGTATCTGTACTGCTTTGGTCCTTGTTGTCATGGACCAGAATACTGTCTCACCCAGAATACTGTCTGTGTAAGCATCACGAATGGATGATCTTTGATGATTGAATATAGGACAAGTGGTTGGATGATGGCATCACTATGAAAAGTGTTACTACGTTCTACATAATGAACCACATTGGATAACGCTTAATATCTGGAGGGTCTCACCTTTTGCTAAATTAAACATAAAGGCATTTTAATAAGTATGTTCCCATGGGCGTGGAAGGAGGGTAATGATTTTTGTGTGTGGTCCACATGGATTTCTGTTTAGGACTCATTATCTGGAAGATTATCTTAACCTTTTTTTTTTTTTTTTTTAATTCCAGATAGAGAGACTCTGCTCTCTTACTTGTTTTAGTAGCTCAGTGGGTAATATTAACAGCAGCTACTAGTTAACAAGTGCTCAGTTTGTGCTGGGCACCATCCTGTCCACATCCTGTGAGTTTTCAGGGCCTCCTACAACAGAAAATGGCACCCTCGACCTGGCTGGCAGCAGGTATGCTCAAATCACTCTCTTGATGTTTGTCAAGCAAAAGTAGCTAAAGGAAAGTTGGCACTCATGAAAGGGAGGAACCTTGTCATACTAAACTATTAAAGTATATTTTTCACATATGGCACGACAAAAGTTGCTGCCTATTCCGTCATGATTTGCCTCTCCGCCCATTCTCTCTCCAAACACCTGCTGCCATTTGCCTCATGCACAGAAGCTTAAATCCTGGGATTGCTTCTTCCCTAGGAGCAGAACCAAGAAGCCTTTGGAGCAGCCTTTCTGGGTTTTGCTTTCCAGAGTCATACCTACTGCACTGCCATGCCTGCTTTGACTTCTCACAGCCTCCCACCCGACAGCCAGTCAGGCAGGCCACAGT